GCGAGTGGGCTGCCCGCATTGGGCCTCCACTCTGGCTTCTCGGGCTCTGCCTCCTTTCCCCCCAAGGGCGCTGAGTCCCCTCTGGGCCCGCCCCCGGCCCGCCCCTTCCGGCGCTCACACTTGCGGTCGGCTGGAGCGCGGGCGGCAGGAAGGGACTGTGCGGTCCGCTGTCCCTGCCGCCCCGCAGGTTGGGAGGACTTTCCAGACCCCGGTCCGGGATGGGGCAGGCCCGCTGCTACCGCCGCTGCGACTCTTCGTGCCCGCGATGCAGAGCCGGGGTGAGTGCGCCCGGCGAGGGTCTGGAGGAGACCGCGGGGTCTGGGAGGGCGGCGGGCGCCCGGGGTGCCGGGGCCTGTGCCGGGGGTAGTGACCCGGCGCTGGGGAGCGGGGAGGCGGAGCTGGGGGAGGGGGCGCGGAGCTGGGGGTTAGGAGGCCGGGGTGAGGCGCGGTCCGCTCTCACGCCAGTTACCTCTGCGCAGTACCGGGAGCGGGACGCCGGGCGCCACCAGCACTGGGCGCTGCCACCGGCCTGGGAGCGCGTGGGGTGGAGCCGCGTGGGTCCCGCGGAGGTCACGGAAGGCCCCCTTTCCCGCGGGGACGAGTTCGCGCTCGTGTGCGCGCTGCGAGTCCCCACGTTCTCCTCCGAGAAGACCGTGGTCGCAGATGTGGTCAGAAATGTGCGGAAACGCCCCCGGACACCTCTAGGGGCTGGACCCGCTCTGGCGGGATCTCTGGGGGCCGGGCCTGCAGACGCTCAGGCTGCGGGGTTGGGGCGGGTGTTTGGGCGCGATGGACCGAGGACGGAGCCTGGAAGGGGTGGCCCTCCGGGTGCTCCCACTGGGCCCTCATGGGCAATACTAGTGCCCCTCTGGAGGACACCCTGCGGCGGTGCTGGGCCAGGAGAAAGATACCCGTTACTGTGGACAGGATCGCCAGTGCTTGCACAGCGTCTAGGTCTGTCCTGGTTCTGCCAGGTGCACGCACAGGTAGTCCAGGGTAGACGGTGGCTGGATGAGCACGGGCGGTTCAGCACCCACAGCTGGTTCGCAGTGAGGGATAAACAGGTTAGAAGTCTGGCCTTAACCTGGCCGGTTTGGCTCAGCGGTTAGAGCGTAGGCCCATGAACCAGGGAGTCCGGGGTTTGGTTCTCACTAAGGGCATGTACCTCGGTTGCGGTTTGTCCCTGGCCCGGTTGGGGTCTTGTGTGTGGCAACCACTCTGTGTGTCTCTCTCACATAGATGTTTTTCTTTCTCTCGCTCCCTTCTGCTCTATCTGAAGATAAATGCAAAAATGTCCTCTGGTGAGGATTAAAAAAAAAATGTCTGGTCGCAGATCCACTTCTCTTAAAAGCAGGGAGAAACTTAAACTAGGCCCTTTGGGGTGGCGGGGGGATCGTGTTATGCTGATAAACACAAAGCAGGCATTTTTCCTTGTTAAATTATTTCCATCCAGTGCTCGGGTTTTTTTGACCATGGATATGGCTGAGTAGTTTTCACTTATTAAAGTCAAAGGTGTTTTTTAAGAATACCAAGGTACAGTTAAACAAGTTACTTAAAATTTTTCCTTTTGAGTGTGTTTTTGTTTTTTGTGGATTTTTGGGTTTTTTTTCTTGTCAAAAACTCGGTCAAATGAAAAATTCTCACGCAGTGCCTTCGTTTGCACATTAAATTACACTAAAGCAATTTATAATTTGGGACAACACAGCAATTTGAAACAAACATCAAAGAACTAAAACAAGTCTGTTTTCCATGCCCAAACCCTCAAATTCCTCAGCATTTCTACCAGACCCATTTTTTCATAATCCTCCAGTCTGCTATATTTTTCTAGTACTGAGGGCTGGCCATCAGTAGCCTTGGAGGTAGTGAATGTAGTGAAAAGTATGGGAAAATAATGGGAACAATAGTTTGGTGTAAGATATTAGAAAATAGAGTGTTTTTTTTTTTTTTCTTCTACGTTTTAAAAAAGCTGTAATAAAAAAGTTTGTAGCCCTGGCCAGTTTGGCTTAGCAGTTAGAGCCTCGGCCTGTGGGCAGAAGGGTCTCAGGTTCAATTCTCAGTCATGGGCATGTACCTGGGTTGCAGGTTAGATCCCTGGTCCTGGAAGGGGGCCTGCGGGAAGCAGCCAATTGATGTGTCTCTCTCACATTGATGTTTCTGTCTCTCTCTCTTCCTCCCTTCTTCTCTATCTAAAAATAAATGGGAAAATATCCTCGGGTGAGGATTAACAACAACAACACAAAATTGTAGCTCACAGTCAGCTTTAGTCAGATAATCATGAAAGGTCTGTTAAAATCCACAGAGTAGGAAAAAAAATTTCTCCGATTTTTCTGCAAGTTCCTTTTTTCCTTGAAGATGGGAGATGTCTGATAGTGTTGGAGCTTACCTTGTGAAAAGCTTAAAGAATGCTCTTCTCACTGGCAGAATTAGAGCAAAAGTAAGAGTGCTGTGTTGAGATTAAAAATTGAAATTAGACTCGGTTTAGTTTTGAGATTTTTACCTTTCACATTGTGAGTTCTCGTGGAATGCTTACGAGACAGGAGAAAGAATGAGATGATAGAGTGACTGTGTGTGTGGCCTCTACGCTGTAGAAGAAAGGATAAATAACATTTACCCACCACTTCAACCAGGAATCCTCCCCCCATCCACACAGATACCATCCCTCAGAGCACAGGCAGAAGTGAGAGTGCTGACATTTCAGTCCTCCCTCTGATCAGCCTCCGGTGGGGGTGCTAGTGAGCAGCACACCAGGCAAAGGGGGGCTGTTAGGCACTGGGAGAGGATAGAGGAGAAGTAAAAGTGGGTAACAGTGAGGGCATTTCTAGGTCCTGACCCATGATGAGGCTGTGTGTGCAGCTAAACTCACCCTTTAGAACAATTGGGCCTAAAAACTCTTAAATGTTAGTGTATTTGTCCCGGACTGATGCTGGAACATGCATTACAATATACCGTCCACATTTTCCCAGGGAGAACTTTGATTTGTCTCTTTGCTTTGGGGATTTGTAACAATGGCTTCAATGCTTTTTGGAAGTAAGTAGGGAATAGGTCACAAATAAATAATTTTTAGAAAGTTATCCTTTATTTTCTTTAAACATTTTTTATTTTAAACTACAGTTGACATACATTATTATATTAGTTTTGGGTGTACACCCCAGTGATTGCACAGTACATAACTTTACTAAGTGATCATCCCAATAAATCTTGCACCGTCTAATATCATACATAGTTATTAGAATATTGTTACTATATTCTCTATGTTGTACTTTATATTCCTATGACTATTCTGCAGTAACCAATTTGTACTTAATTTTTTCACCTTTTTATACCCATCCTCCCAACACCTCTCCTATCTGGCATTTGTCAAAACGTTCTCTGTATTTATGAATCTCTTTCTGTTCCACATGTTCGTTTATTCTGATTTTAGATTTAGTTGCTGATAGATATGTATTTATTGCATTTTTATTGTTCTTTTTAAAAAACTCTTACCCGAGGATATTTTTCTGTTGATTTTCAGATACTGGTGGAGGGGGCGGGGGTAGAGAGAGAAACATTGATGTGAGAGAGACACACACCAGCTGGCTGCCTCCCATATGACCCTGACTAGGGCTGGGGATTGAACCACAATTAAGGCATGTGCCCTTGACCGGAATCGAATCCACGACTCTTCGATCCGCAGGCTGACAATCTAACCGCTGAGCCAAACTGGCCAGGACAATTGTTTATATTTTTTACCTTTTTGTTTCCTTCTTCTTAAAGAAGACCCTTTAAGGTTTTATATAGCACTGGTTAGGTGGTGGTGAAGTCCTTTAGCTTTTTGTTGTCTGGGAAGCTCTTTATTTGTCCTTCAATTCTAAATGATAGCTTTGCTGGGTAGAGTAATCTTGGTTGTAGGTTCTTGCTTTTCATGACTTTGCATGATTCTTGCCATTCTCTTCTGACCTGCAAGGTTTCTGTTGAGAAATCAGCTGACAGTCTTATGGGAGCTTCCAAGTAGGTAACGAACAGCCTTTCTCTTACAGCTTTTAAGATTCTGTCTTTAACCTTTGCCATTTTCATTATGATGTGTCTTGGTGTGAGCCTCTTTGGCTCCATCTTGTTTGGGACTCTCTGTGCCTCCTGGACTTGTGTGTCTTTTTCCTTCACCAAGTTAGGGAAGTTTTTAGTCATTATTTCTTCAAATAGATTCTCGATCCCTTGCACTCTCTCTTCTCTTTCTGGTACCCTGCGATGTGGATGTAGTTACACTTTATGTTGTCCTGAAGGTCCCTTCAACTATCCTCATTAAAAAACCTTGTCTTTTCTCTTTGCTGCTCTAATCGAGTGGTTTTTTTTCTACCTTGTCTTCCAAATTGCTGATTCATTCTCTGCTTCATGTAACCTACTGTTTATTTCTTCCAGTGTATTCCTTATTTCAGATATTGCATTCTTCATTTGAAACTGGTTTCTATGTCCTTTTTCATGCTGTTGAACATTTATAATCACTACTTCGAATTCTATACCTAGTAAATCACTTGCCTCTATTTCATTTACCTATTCTTCTGGAGAATTCTCTTGTTCTTTCATTTGGGGCCTGTTTCATTGTCTCCCCATTTTGGCTGCCTCTTTGTGTTTGTTTCTATGTATGAGGCAGATCTGCTATGAATCCTAGTCTTGGTAGGGTGGCCTTGTATAGTGGGTGTCTGTGGGACCCAGTGGCACAGTCCCTCTGATTACCTGAGCTAGGCATGTTTCTTGTGGGCATTATGTGGGCCCTCTTGTTATGACTGAGTTGTGTTTTTTGTTTTAATCCTCCTCACCCGAGGATTTTTTCCCCCATTTATCTTCAGATAGAGTGGAAAGTAGGGAGGGAGGGAGGCAGAGAGAAAGAGAAACATTGACATGAGAAAGACACATTGATTGGTTGCCTCCTGCCCGACCCTGACCAGGGCTGGGGACCGAACCACAACCAAGGTACATGCCCTTGACCGGAATTGAACCCGTGACTCATTGGTTTCCAGGCCAACATTCCAGCTGCTATGTTGGTGTTGATCACACCAAGAATAATTCGCCTCAGCAGGGTTTGGTGCCTGCCAAGATCTCCCTGTGGATACACTGCTTGTGAAGCTTTGGGTCCTGCTCTGTCGTTGTGTGAATCTGGCCCCTGGATTTCTTGGTTGTGGGTCTCTTTGGAGGGACTCTTGTGCAGGCCAATGTCAGATGCTGCCTGTGACTTGCCCTAGGCAGCCTGTCTGGATCTGTCAGTGACCCACAGCTTGTGGCTCCCTCTTCTGGGCCTGGGTACATTCACAGAAGACCAAGCTATGCACCAAGGTTGGCTTTTACCAGCACCGGGTCTGGGGCAGGCCAGCGAAAGTCTCAAAGCACCCAGAGATCCACCTCCACCTGCAGGCTGCCTGTCAGGTTCAGTCCCTGAAAGAGCCTCCGACTGCAGCCCCCTGCAGGGTGTAAGCTCCACAGGGTCAGGTGAGAGGGATTCCAACAGGTGGGGCTATTCCTTCCCCCCAGGCCGATGCCCCTTGGACGGGGGTGCTCTGCTCCAGGAAGATAGTTCTGCAGTGTGGGGGAATGATCAGCACGGGATCCTGGTGGCTGGCCCTTCAGCTCTCTCCCCAGAGCCATCAGCCCAGACTCTTCTCGCTTGACTCTAGTCCTGTCTGCCCCCCACCCTCCCTCTGCCAGGCCCAGGATAAGTGGCTGTGAATGAAATTTTGTGTGTTGGCCCTTTAAGAGGGTGCCTGGTCTCTAGCCAGCTCTCCTTGGTGGACAGAGACCCCGCTGGAGGGAAAGGGCTGGTGCCCACAACTCAGGAGTGCACTGCCCTAAGCTGTGCCAGAGACCCCTCCTCACTCCTCCTACTGGCTTCCCTATCCCTCCAGGCAGCCCCCCTACTCCCTTCTCCCACCCCCTGGTGAGTTCCCCCTTCCCAGCTCTCCCTCCCTTTCTCCAGGTTCCCACTCTCCTTCTTCCCTCCCTCCCCTCGCCCCTTCCCCTAGACCCTGGCTGAACCCCAGCTCAGTGGCAGCACCTGGTGATCTGTCTCCACATGTGAGCAGTTAGTGTCAGCTAACTGAGCCTATCAGCTGTCTTCCTTCTGCTGCCCGTACCTCCCTGGGGCCTGCCCGCGCTGAGCCTGGATGGCAGAGAGAGGAAGGGAGACGACACGGGCAGCTGCTGGCAGGGGTAGCGGGGCTTCAGAGGAGGAAACAAGAAAACACCACATCAGCCTCCTCTGAGCAAAGTGCCTGTTGTGGGGCGAGAGAGTGCACCTGTGTGCTTGCATGTGCTCATGCGTGCATGTGTGAGCTTGTGTGTCCTTGGTGTGGAGGGGTGTGGTGTGCTGGGAAGCCCCGTCTGAACCCACCTATCTCCACAGCAGGGCTTCTAGCTGGCTGGATTGGGAGCAGAGGTGTCCCTGGGCCACCTGATCGGCTCACCTTCCCACAAGATCCACCGGTTCCGTCCCGGCCCACAGCCCAGGGATGTGAGCTCCAGAGGTGTGGGCCTGGGTCCAGTCCTGGCTCTCAGGCACCCTCCAGGGGCAGTTCTCCAGGTCTCTGCGGGTGGCCTGGAGGGAGGGGGGACGCTGGGCTCTTTCTGAGGAGGGGCCCAGTTTCCTGGGGGTGTCAGACGATGACGTGCCAGATGCTTCCAGAGGCTTTGTCTCAGAAACAGGACTCAGAGTGGAGTCACCAGGACGCTCACAAGAGCACTGGCTTGCAGGCCTCTTTCCCTTAGGCCATAAGTGTCAGTGGCAAATAGAATATCCAGACTCGCACCGGGCCCCAGAGGGTTCCTGAGGTTCATAGCAGCGGAGCGCATCCCTGGGACAGCCCCCTTGTCCTCACAGTGTCCCCCCCGAATCAGCCCTCAGATCCTGCTGCGGGCAATGTCTAAAGACGCTGAGTGAGCAGGTTACAGCAGAGCCCCCGCCCCCAGCCTGTACTTCTCTGTTCTGATGTTGTCAGTTTGTGTTTCTGTGCTGGGGCTTGGGTTTGCTTTTGGTGAGTTATTTGTGGTGACACGCGCCCGCGGATCTCTGCTCCTTCTAAGTCAAGGGCTGTACCATAGGGCCATGGAGGGAAGCATGTCCTCAGACTAGGAACGCCAGCGATGGCGGGAGCAGAGGGCCCGGCACCAAGGGCACGTGTGGGCTGAGTGACTCGATCCGCGTCCTCACCTGAACTAGGCTGACCTGGTTGACCTTGCGGGGTGCGTGTGGGTTAAGTGCCAGGTGAAGACTAAGCGTCGGGCACGTGATAAGCATGGAGGAAGCTTGGCATCTGGTAGTGACGTGACCTTGACAGGCCCTCCTCTTCCCACAGGGTCCACTAGGGCCTCCGAGAGAGATGCTCTTCCGAGGTGACCACTGGGGACTCGACTTATGGAAGCGCTGGCCCGTGCACACTTCACTGCGTCACCGTCCTCCAGGGCCGCAGTGACAGCGCCATCGTCTGTGGAGTCTCCCCCTGCGGCCGGCCCCAGCGAAGCACCTTGTCCCAGTAAGTCGACCAGCTCATGTGTCCATGGCTGGACATCGCAGGCGTGTCCCCAGGCCGTGCAGGGGGTGGGGTGATGGCGGAAGGAAGGAGTGCAGGAGGGCTGGGTTCCCCGCACAGTGTTAGGGCCTGGCTCATGCAGGGAGCCACAGCCCAGCCTGCACCCTGCTGAGAGCTCTGTGTGTGTGTGTGTGTGTACAGTCCGTGTCAGGAGCAGTCACCATCCTGAGTGACTTTCCTGTGGCTCACAGGGACAGAGGTCAGACCTGCCTTCCACTGCCTGGGAAGTTCACACACACACACACACACACACACACACACGCCCCAGACCCGGCTGTGACGCCAGTCCACTGTGGGCACTTCCTAGCCAGGTCACTCCGGGGCCTCTGCTCTGGTCTGTGACCTCCACAACCCGCCTGCCTGACCGGCTTCAATACCAGGACGTGGAGCCCAGGAGGGCGCTCGTGCCAGCTCTCGTTGCGGGTGGCCAGAGCCCTCCGTGAGCTCTGGCTCGTCACCCTTTCCGGCAGGGTCCCTGGCCTGCTGTCCCTGCCCTGTCGGTTGGTTGGTCACCTGTGGGAACACACAAACCTTCTCTCTGGCAGGTCAGGGCCCCTGCAGCTCCATCGGGGCTCAGCAGTCCTGCCTGGCCCGCCGCCTCCCGCCCAGCAGCTGCGAGGTGAAGCCATCAACTTGGCGGCGGGCCAGGCATCCCTTGAAGAGGCCTCCATAGGCAGGTGTCCTGAGGGAGCCGGGACTCAGGTAGACAGATGCGCAGGCCCCTCCGGGATGGACCTCGGGGGAGCTGGTCGCACAGGTGTGGGTTCCCAGGGCCCACAGAGCAAGCCACAGGCTCGGAGAAACAGACATCGGCCGCCTGGTGGGGTGAGCGAGGGCCTGGTTCGTTCACTCCTCGCCCGGAGTCACGGCTGCCACTGGCACCTCCGTCCCCCACGGTGTGCGGTCTGGCCACGCAGTTCCTCCACGGCTTCTGTGTCTCTCTTGGACGCAGAGAAGTTACAGCGGGATGAACAGGGAGGGATCCACCTGCCTCGTGGAGTGAGGGCCGTGTGCATTTTCCTGCCCAGCATCCGAGAGTGTGATGAGCCACCGCTGACATCTGTCTTAAAGTCCAGGACCTGGGGCCTGGAGGACAGGGCAGCCTCTAAGCAGCACTGGCAGGAAAAAGAATGCTGTGCCCTGGCCGGTGTGGCTCCGCGGTTCGAGCGTCGGCCCGCGGTCCCGAGAACTGGGATCATTAGTACCGAATCTTGGGGACTTACTTGCTTTCACTTAGCTTAATGACTGGGAGATTTGTCCAAATTGTCGTGTCCGTCAACAGTCATTCCTCTGCTTGCTGAGCCGAGTCCCTTGGGGTGGCTACACCACAGTTTGTTTACCGCTCACCTGCCGAAGGTCATCCGGGCTTCCTCTGTTGGGGGCTGTTACTTTAGCTACTACGACAGTCGTGTGCAGCTTTTGATGCGAATCAGATTTTGTTGCTCTAGGCTAAATGCCCACTGGGTTCTGGTAAGTATACGTGTCACTCTTACGACACTGCCACGTCTGTTTCCAGAGTGGCTGAACCACTCACCTTGCTGCCAGCAGCGTCTGAGTCCCCTTTCTCCGCATCCTCACCGGCATCGGGCACACTCAGTGTTGCTTGTTTAGAGTTTCTAACACGTCTCTTGTGGCTTTGATTCGTCTTCCCCTAATGGCTAGTGATATTGAGCATCTTTCCTGTACCTGTGTGTGGCATGTTTTGCCATCGGGTGGGCGAGTCTGAGGCCCCCTGTCCTGCATGATCCCCGCCCCGAGAGGGAGAGCTGACCTCGGCTCGCCCTGACGTGGGACTGCCCCCTTAGCTATTCCACAGGAAGAAAGGGGTGTGGTGATGGTGGGTGGTTTGACCTCCGAGGTCAGGAGCACAGGCTCAGAGCGTCAAGTAAGCTCGGGGTGGGGGTGGGGAGAGGATGTGAAGCTTCCCGCCCCGTGTATGACACCCACCACCCTTCCTCCAGTTCACACCCCAAGACTCTTTAGTAAGAATCAGGCTGTGGAGGTGGAGTCACTGGGTGTTGTGAAGCTCTCTGACTGGCTCGCAGTTGGAAATAGTGGGGCCCATTCACAACAGGGTCACAGATATTACCCCACCTTTTTGGAATGTGGAAAGTCTCAGAGGGAAGCTTGAGTTGTCCCAAAAGGCCTGGATCCCACCAACCCTCCAAGAGCAGGGCCCACACCCATTTGTCATGCTCTGCCCAGCACCTCACGCATGACCTGTGGTGGGGGGAGGGCCACTTCGGAGCGACTGTGTCCCCCACCCAGTCTCACCTTCTCCCTGAGGCTAACTGAGAACATAAAGGTGCTTGAGAAGCCCTGAGATCCAGGGCGGGGCCTGGGGGCCAGAGCCCCGGAGGAGCTCAAGCGCACCCCGGAGGAGTGACTGGCCCCGGCAGGAGCCAGGAGGGAGGGGGCGCAGGGTCCCCTCCAGCAGGGATCCCAAAGGCAGGCTCTGCAGTCCTGTGGCTCACAGGAGCCTCCTGACGGACACACATCCCAAATGCAGGTCCCTTCCAGTGTCTTCCAGGGCACTGGCACACCCATGCAGAAGGTTCCATTTCTACCCATGACCAAGGTCCTCTTCATTATAACCTAGCAACTGAATCATGAAAGCTTACTAAGAGAGGGTATCCATGAGGGAAAATGAGGGTGTTTCTAGAGCTACTGAACACTGTCAGTGCGACCTCGGGTAACTTAAAACTTGTTTCTTTCTTTCCCCATCTGTAAAATGGGACTAATAACAGTTCCACCGTCATTGAGATGCTGGAAGAGTCAGAGAGCGTAAAACAGTGTCTGGCCAGAGCAGGCACTGCAGAGGTGACCTGTCATCATGACTACAACATAAGTGGGGAGGGCACCTTGTCCCCGGTGGAGGGTTGCAGTTCCTGCCACCATGGAGGGTGGCTGCATCAGGGCTGCCCTGGAGTCGGTGCACTCTCCCATTGACACTAACCTCCCTGGAAATGGTCAATTTCTGTAACTTTTGCTGTAGTATTACTGACATCATGTGTTGGGAGTGGTTCGGGAAGCCCTACAGAATACAGTGCTGCATATTCTACCCAGTAATTTTTGACATAAGACTTTCTAATAACTAGATTTCAAGCCGTCCATGTGTATGGTTCAGACATGGATCATCTTTGTCCTGTAGTTAAAGCTGATGTCTATATAAATAACACCCCTCCCCCAAACATTGGACTTTTGCTGAACACTGTCTCTGTCACTGAGTTCTCTATGTGGGGCCATCTGGGGAGTGTGGGCTGCAGGGATTTCATCCTCTCCTTGGATTGCTCTGGAATGTTGGAGACCCCGTGCCTGGAGGGCCCAGGAGGGTGGCCCTGCTTTTCAGAACTAGGTACATGTGGAGTGGCAGTGGCCCCCCTCTGAATGGCACCCCAGCTCAATGTAGTGGCAAGGGTCCATGGGCTCCTCCTGGGGACCCCAGCTCCCCATGCTGTCCTCTACCTCACACCTCTGCCCCGCGTGGGAATGGGCCCCAGGAGCATCTTTGCAGAGAGCTCACCCACATGCACATGCGCAGGGTCAGGACCTGGCTCCAGACATCACCTTACTGACTGATTTGACCCGGTGCTGACTCATCTTCTGCTCTGCACTTGAAGACTCAGTGTATCTCTTTCTGTGTGTTCCTTGCTCTGCTGAGGGAATGGAATCCTGGCCGAGTCAGAGTCCTTTCTGCCCAGGCTAAGAAAGTAGGTCAGATATTTGTACTGAGGCCTGTTCACATACATATGCCCATTAGATACAATACACTGCATTGGTAATTAAGGATACACTGCATTGGTTATTAAGGAAGCTAGGTCCAGAGAGGGTAAGCCACTTGTCAGAGGTCACACGTAAGGCCCAGGCGAGGAGTTCCCTGTAATTAAGATGATTGTGGTGGCCTAACTCCTTAACTAGTGCACTAACCTGCCCCTTTTCATGGCTCCTGCAGATGCCCAAGGGACCATCCGGGAAATTGTCTTGCCCCGGGGCCTTGACCTGGGCCTGGACCTGGACTGGCCCAGCGGACCGGTGCGTCCTTCACACCGAGCAGCGGTCCCACCTGGAGATGGAGAGATGGAGTTCCGGCGCTGCCAGTGCGTGGTGGGCCCTGCGCGCACTGAGCTGGCCCGCCCGCTGAACCTCTCTGAGTCCCAGATAAGACGGCATCTGGGCCACGCCGCCCTGCCCTGGCACCCTGGCAACTCCGTGGGTGTGAGAAGCAACGTGGGAGGCGTCAGACACGTATTAGGTTCAGGCATTGCAGGTACACCAGAGACAGTCAGTGCAGTGCTGACCAGAGAGTGGTGTGTGCCCGCGGGAGGCCTTCAGGGTGCATGACCGTGTGGACAGAACAAAGGGAAAGGCCAGAGGACCCTGGGGGCGGGCACTGAGGATGCAGCCAGTGGCTTAGGGGGTGTTGGCCTGTGAGAGAAGCTTACAGAAAGGGATGCTGAGGGGTTGGATTTGGGGAGAGAGGAGATTTTATACAACTGGCATCTCATTTCCCATTCTGGGCCTTTTCTATCCTCTGTCACCCTTTTCTTCATCTGGTGTGGCTCAGAACCTCTTGTTAGAGAGAAGGGGTCTGAGCACCTCTTCCCCCAAGAAGGGCGTATCGTTTTTACGATAGTATGCTTAACCAAAGGAAAAGCCCACTTTGAGTCACCGCGTTAGCATGAACTCAGGTGTGCTCACAGTAGCTTGTTATGCATAATTAAAGACACTCCCATCACTCAGGAAATTCCAAGGGGTTAGGAGCTCTGCTAAGAACCAGCAGTGCATTAAAATGATAATTTACTGTGATCAAATGAGATTTATTTCAAGGATGCAAGGATGGTTCAACATTTGCAGATCAATCAATAGTGACACATCACCTTAATAGAATGAAATAAAGAATCGTATGATCTATAAGTCTGTTTCTGGTTTGGTTTTGCTTTTTGTTTGTTTATAGGGAAGGGATTGAGAAGTGCAGGTTGCATATTGAACTAA